TCTTCTGTGTGAGGACTAGTAGAGGACACAGTAGAAAGAAGATTCGAGTCACACCTGGGTTTGCATCTGAGCTCATGCTTATTAGTGGTGTGACCATAGGCAACATGCTTAACCATCTGAGGCCTCAAATCTCAAATGGAAAACAGACTCCACTGATGACCTCCTCAGGGTTTGGTGAGGCCCCATCCTGTATTGTCAAGGGATTTGTGCTTAGCACTTGCAGGTTAAGTGAACTAGGGCTGGATCAGTGCTTTGAAGCCACTGTGTGCTCCTCCCTGATCCCATCTTCCTGCCTCCCTCTGGAGGCCAGCACCATCCCAAACTTTATGTTGAACATTCCCTTGCTTCTTGAAGAGTGTTAGCTGTAAACAATCTATTTTTAGCTTTGCCTGTTTGGGTTCTACAAACGGTATCTTGTTATAAATCATCTCTAATAAGAGTGCTTCGGCACAGCCAGGTGAGTGTAGAACTCTTGGCTCTCTGCTCAGCCTTTGCTGATGGGGGTGGGTATAGGGTTGTGTCTTTTTCTGTGGAATTTGGCTGGAGGAGAGTTGGTTTTATCTAAAACATTTTTGTCTTTCTAGGTTTCCCCCTGGCTGGTCCTTTGGTTAGAGAGAGCAGGCTTTTTCAGATACTGGATCAGTGGCCGGGATTAGCATTATGTGACATGCAGGGGGAATGAATCCATTAAAGAAATAAATTGAGGTTCGTGGGAGCCAGGTTTATTACCTTATAGGGAAGGGAACAGTGAAAACTAGAATGAACCCTGTGGTGTTGGGTTGGAATTTAGGGTATCTGTATGAATTCATGCTTTTCTGTGTACATGGATAGATATAGAAAGAAGAAGAAAGTGTGTGTACATATATGTGTGTGCTGCTATTCACTCAGATGACTTGGGAATAGTGATAACCTAGTTGTAATAAGTACACTCAGGTGTTGGTTTCTAAATACCATTTCTTCCCACTAAGATTATCAGACGAGAAAATCATTTTTTGGGCAACTCTCATAGAATAATTAATTTGGCTAAGAATTATCAATGGACACTAAGAGTATCGGGTGAAAGGCGGTTGAGAAATACAATATTTAGGTAGTCTAAAAGTACCATCTCCCAAAATACTTATGAATTACAAAGGGAAAAAGGGGAGCAATCTGGCAGATACCAGTTCACATCACCAGTCAGGGAAAAGAATTGAAATAGTATACCGCCTGATAGAATACAGTGACAGGAGCTCTTCCGTGGTGTTCCTCCTGAAAATCCATAATGAGTCTAATCATAAGGAATTATAAAACAAGGAGCATTCTACAAAACTGGCCTAGAATCTTCAAAATGGTCAAGGTCATAAAAGTCAAGGAAAATCTAAAGAATTCTAGATTGAAATAGACTAATGAGATATGAAAACTAAGTGCAGTGTGAGACCCTGGATTGGGTCATTTTACTAAAATGGACATTATTGGGATAAGTGGAGAGAGTCACATGTGGTCTGTGGATTAGATCACGGTACCATATCAGTGTTAATTTCTGGATTTTGATGGTCATAATTATTGTCGTTTTGTAGGAGAGTGTCCTTATGTATAGAAATTACTCACTAAACTCGGTATGGGTGATAGGCCATCATGTTGCTGACTCTCAAGGGGTTCAGGGAAATGAAGTTATTTGTGCTAGTCTGGCAACTTTTTTGTGTAGGTTGGTCTGAGATTATTAAGCAAAACCAAACCAAACGCGCTGTTAGTTGCTTTAGTAGCTCAGAGTTGTTTGCTTATCAGACAAATCGTTTGTAAGATTTAAGGGGTTCGCCTCTCTGTGCTGTCTTGTCTTGCAACTGCCCTATCAGTATGGCTCCTTGTTATATCTTGATTTGGCTTTTGGTATGCTGGTTTTAAGTATTTACCATCACCTCATCAATAATTTCCTTGCCCATTCTTTATTTCCCATTACCTATGTTTTGCCTTTGTGACAAACTGCTTCTTTCAATAGGAAACAGTGGTTTATAAAAACATGGCGCTTCACTGTGTTACAGTTAAGTGATAATACTATATTTATTTATTTTTATTATTATTATTTTTTTTTAGCTGAGCCATCCTGCTACCTATTGGCAGCTCAGTGGCTGCTCAGCTCGGGCTGGACTCGAACCGCTGTTGCTCAGAGCTCAAACTCTTGAGCGAGCTCTTAACCAACTGAGCCACTCGGCCGGCCCCAACTATATTTAATTGTAACTTTGTTATGCAGTTTTTTTCTTCTCAGTTCGCTGGTGAGCTGGTTAGGCTTTCTTTCCCTTTTCACCATACTGTGTCTACCTCAGTGCTGAGCATGTTTCAGTAGGGTTTAGTGAAAAGTGTTGGGCTGGTTGATTGCTATCTTAGAATTTAGAGTTTCCAGAAAGTATAATCTGGGTTAGGGGAATTTGATAGACAGAATGGCAGATGTGATGCTGTACCAGTCCATAATCTAGTGAGCTCATGCCTGTGTTTGTGAATGGTTAGCCCCCAAGGCTCTAGGATTAAGCGGTATTAGGACCAAGCTGGTCCTACTCTAAAAATTTGTGGGATTCAGGATGGAGGTAGGGTAGCTGTGGGGAGAAGGTTCGTTGTCAGAGCAGCCTTCTGTCTCTGAGAGCATTACACGGAAGTTGGGTTTGGTAAAACCTGTCTTTTTCCCTCAGTACAGAAAGTCATGGGGTAAAGGCCCTGAATGCCGTGCCCCCCCGCCCCCCCCAAATATCTTTCTTTCTTTGGTGGAACTAAAGTTCACCATAGGGCTGTTCGCCTTAGACAGGTTGGAGGACACACATTTTTTTTTTTTTTTAGCTATTACACTCCTTTTCATATTTCTCAGAAGGATCAAGGAAAAAAAGCTTTCAGAAACCCAAAGTGGTAGTTACATTGCACTTAGTACACACCCACACGTACAGGCTTTTCTTTAGCAGTTTGTTACTTTTTTCTTGCTGCTTATACAGTGTAGGTGGCCTTCTCCGGATTGCTTTCGACAGGAAATTGAGCAACCTTTCTTTTTGGAACAGAATATATATTACTGCTGAGAGAGAAAAAAGTGAAGTGTTTATGTTTTGAAGTTTTATGGTGAGTTTTTAGTTAAAGACCAGTTTAAATCTAGAAAAATGGAGGTAGGGGTTAAATTTCATGATTGTGCACTAATATTTCCGAACCTTCTTAGTTATTGTTGGGCCTTTCTTTTCCTGTAGAAAGAAAGAAAGGCCCGAAGGCCCCAACATTACTTTGCTTCGCAAAGAGGAAATTCACTTTGTTTTGTTCTCTTAGCCAGTGGTAGATATTAAGAAGTCATCTCTGACCAGGTCATCATTTTGCTGGTTGTTGTGTGAGGCTGCCTTCCCCAGTTGCCTTCTTTGTGGAGTGGAGGTGTGATGCGATTTAACAGGCACCTTGAATCTGGAGGGTGTATGAGCCCTACCTTTGGAAAAGCACGTCATTTAGTAAAACTTCCTGATGATTTGGTTACTGCAAAGACCCCCAAGGCTGGATAGGGACCTCCAACTAGAGCCCTGCCTCTGTCACAGATTCCACCTGGATTGCCAGCCCCTCTAGCGCTTTGAGATATGAATACCAGCCTACCCACCGCCCACCACCCACACAGGTGCTTGCTGCCTGGGGTGCTTGTGGTTGAGTTTGAGTTGGGTAGGTGGTTCCTTTATAGCACAGGGGACTCAGGGGAATTAATCAGCCTATAATTAGAACATAAGCCCATATGCAACACCATGGAAACGTTGTCCAGTTGGAATGGAGTAATTCTGGTGGAATCTTTCTAAGTGTGTTCAGAAATCATATCCTTTTGTTTGAGTCTAAAATTTGCATGTTTGTTCATGTACTTAAGTGGATTACTAGTGCAAATCAGCTCTCAGGTATGTCTTATTTATGTAATTAGATAGTTATAGCTCATTAATTATGATGAACACAACAAAGTACAGTAATACCTTGATTTGCGAGCGTAATTCATTCCGGAAACAAACTACTCATATTGCAAGACATCGCTTGTTTACCATGTTAAAAAGTACTTAGTTTGCGAGCATAATTCGTTCCAGAAACAAACTACCTGTATTGCAAGACATCGCTTGTTTACCATGTTAAAATGTACTTGGTTTGCGAGCATAATTCGTTCCAGAAACAAACTACTTGTATTGCAAGACATCACTCGTTCACCACGTTAAAATGTATTAGGAATATTTGCTCATCTTGTGGAACACTCACAATCCAAGGTTTGACTGTATATATTTTGAGTGTTACAGTGTCTTGACCTGTTCTGTGGGTGCAATGTGCAGGCCAATCATGTAAAAACCGCAAGTTTTATTATCTGGGCTATCTGACTCTCAGAATATCCTTTATAAGTTTCTTCTCCCCCGTTTTCTTCTGATGTTTGTACCATTCGATTATGGTAGGGTAGAAAAGACCTGTTGTGGGGTCCTCCGGAGCTCTGTTCAGCTACATTACATAAGATCACAGTGTGGGAACGTGGTAGGCCCTCAGCAAGTCTCATTTTGAGTGCAATTAAAGTAAGTTTTGAAGTACCTTTAAATCTGGCTGAATAAGTGATGGGAGTCCTAATATCCAAGGCGACAGACTGGGAAGAGGAATGTCCCCTTGTCCTTACCAAGAATTGGGGATCACCTTGTTGTGGTGAGGGGAGCTTCTTAAACAGGTTCTTGGGTTTCTCCCCGAGACTTGCTGATTGCATTATGTGGGGTGAGGCTTTGGATCAGTACTCTCTGCCTAGACTGAATAGCCAGGTTTAAGAATTTGTTGTTTAAGTGGGAGTGGCTGTCAGTTGGCTTAAATTTAAATGTGTGCTGAATGGCACATAAAGAGTTTACAAATGAAAGAAGGTTTTAGAGGTAAAGTATAATATTCCACAGTTATGATTTGATTTGTAGCAGTGATCCCTCTCCCCCTTATTCCTATGAGGTGCACTTGTATGTTGTTCAAAGTTTGAAAATAACCTTGTTATACTAAAGTTCATCATTATTTTAACCTAGGTTTTGAGAGAATACCTCAAGTTGGATTCAAAAGCAAGACTTACTACTAACTTTGAAGTGGAAAAAGGTGAGTTGATGGATTAGTCACAAAGTCATGTTGGGGGAAGGGAATGTCACGCAAATGTTCATTCTTAGAAAACCTGCTACTTAATAGCAGAATTTTGATTGAGCAAACATGGCTCCTATATTTTTTTCTCCATTGGCTCTTCTTCCTTCATTGTTTTATTACTGAGGGCAGAAATGGAAACTCGGAAGAGGGGAAACTCCTGTGGTTTTCGTCATCATCTTTGTAGATAAAATAGTCAAGACGTTTTTCTGGCTACTTAATTGAATAATATGAAGGTTTTTATTACATACGTTTCTACTCCATATAGTAAATGCATTTCAAAAAATCTTTTCTGAGTGTTTCTTAAAATTTGATGGGAGTTTATACCTCAGCCCATGTTCTAAATACGAATCTTGTTAACCCTGTTGCATTAGTGTATAATTTGGAATACCAAGTTTATCCTGAAAAAAAGAGAGATGGTTGGACGATCTACTGTTTGATTGCCACTTACCATTGACCTTGGAGTGACTGCCCTTGGTTACTGTTAGGTAGAAACCATGTTCTTTCCTAGGCTTATCTTAATGTTTTAGTGGACATTTCTCAAACATGATTAAACATGTTAATCAGTTGTAAAAGGGTATTCTCACTGAGAAAAATAACAGCTTAATCTGATTAGAAGGGCCCTTCCTACAGGCCAAAAATGCTGTAATATGCTAAACTCTTAAGTTCAGATAAAACAAATGGTTTGGGGTTAAGTAGGTTCCTTCGGTTTTGTTACTTTGTACTTAACCTTCATCTCTCAGCCAGATGCTGAAACAGAAACCTTGGGATTTTTCTTATCTGCTGCTTTGTCAGGAGCAGAAGCCTATGGCCTAAGGAGTCAACTCTTCTGGAGTGGCTGCATCCTGTCAAGGATGGTCAAGGTTATCTGAGCATCTCACCCCCTTCAACCTTTTTGCAGAGCTTAGGAGCACTGCTTTCAAAGTAGCTCGCTATTTCTGACCTTCCTTGAATTTCAGTAAGAGAAATTGGGGAATGATTATCTCTGAAAATGTTTTTAAAATACATTAGGACTCTTTCCTGGTAGCATTTATTTGAGCATTCCCAGCATTGTCGTTCTTTTAATAGAGGTAGAATCCGAGAAAGATTTTTAGATCTCTGTAATTTTTAGCCTTTGGAAGAGCCTACTTTTTTATCAGCAACACAACTGAAATGTAGCATCTTTGGAACCATCAAGAATTGCTTAGTGAGCAAGCAGCCTGCAGGCATGCTCCGTGAAGGTAGTTGCTGCTCAGATACTTCTCAAAAGAAGAAAAACCAATGCATATTATTGAACATGCGCTGGTTTGTACCTCAGTCTTGTAAGGTGTTTTCAAGACCCACCTTTTTTTCTCTTGAGAACCTGCATACTATGGAAATGTGTACCTTCAGTGTAGCCTCTGCATGCCTTATGGTATTTTAAACACTTTAAAATCAATACCAAGTCCCGGTTGATAAACTTGAATATGACAGTTTTGAGCAGACACTTTTAAGTTTTAGGATTATTATGAGGCTAAGCTTGTTAAGCTTTTATTTAGTAGTAGCTACACCTTGTCTTTTAAATTAAGTTGCTTAGTTTAATAGCCTGAACTCCAGGCACTTAAATCACTTCTTTTAATGGTGGTAATATCTTGATGATGCTAGCACCGTATATTTATTAGGTCGGTGGGAGACTCTCCTCTTAGGCATTCATACTTGCTTGGGTCTACTGAGATAACTGAGAAGGGAGGCCATGATTAAACAGTTATACAGACCTGCCAGGGCATGACTTTTCTTAGCCTTCTAAATGTATACTTCTTTCCTAAGCATGCTCTCTCTCTACTTATGGAGAAACTTAAAACAATTCTTTTCTTCTGAAAAAAAAACACAAAAAGACAAAAACAAAAGAAAACCAAAACCTTAAAAAACAACCCACAAAACTTTACATTGTTTTATGTAGCTCTTATATGTATCTTATTAAATCTATCATTCTTTTCCTTTTTATTTATTTTTTGAGTAGCATTGTTCTAGCATAAAAATTAAATTAAGAAAGCATACTTTTTTCTTCTCTTCAAAAAATTTTAAAATTGCTATATTCTTTGTAAATACCTAGCAAGCAACAGAGTGATGTTAATTGATAATCTCTGATTTATGTGCTTTATGCATTAAAAGAGTAGAACGATTTTCTCACGTATTATACTTTTGGTTTGGATTTTCCCTTTTTCATATAGATAGTTATGTACTCATAGGTAGGTGAGATATTGTTTAAAATTTTCTCTTATTTCAGTTTGGTTATTGTATCCCAGGCTTCTGATTTTAATGGGAGAGTCACTGAGGAAATTTTAAAAAGCTCTCCATTCTTTTCTTGAAAATAAAAAAAAGAATAACTCCAGTCACTTTTACTTAGACTGATAGTTTGCTGGTATAATACACAAAAGTAAAGACATACTTTCTGTTGTTTTATGGGAAGTTTCAGCCATTTAGTAAGTGAAAAAAGAAAAGGGATAAAAAAAGCATGTTGGTGCATTCTTCTAGACTTTTCTTGTGTGATATGTGGTGGTAGCAAGAAACATAAAAATCATAATGCCTTCCAATCACCATCCAGGCAATAGAATGACGATAGCAGATTTGGTGGGTAGTTAAAAAATGGACTCTTAGAAAGCATTATCTTGCTGCCTGTCTAGCCTTTGGAACTGTGATCTGACCCTTTCACGTCCACTGACGCGATACACCCTCTTGTCTCCTCATTATACCTAGTTATGGCTTCCTTAAAACATAAGAGAACAGCTGTTCACATCCAGTACAGTTTCCTCTTTAAATAGAGTCCAGTGACAAAGACAATAGATTAAACAATAACAAGACTTTAAATATATTAACTCTAAGAAGAAAATAGCTCAAATGTTGACCTCGAGTTGACTTGTTCGATTCTTTGGGTCAGCCTAAACTGAAGTTTCATGGTGCACTGAGGGTACAAAATGGAGACAACTTTTTAAGAGAAATACTAGATGAAATTTTATGAACTAAATGCCAACTCTAATATGAAAGTATTAAAAACTTCGAGTGGCAAAGGAATGACAGCAGAGTTTTCTTTTTATCTTTGGCCATGGCTAATTTGAATTGAGTTTGGCATGCCTTGAGGTCACCTCAGAATTATTTCATTATGCTTATTTATTATTCAAAGTCTTCTTCTTTGTTCTTAGTAAAGAAAATTATGTGACATGCGTTGCCCTAGCAAACATTTTTACCAGCTTGTAGAACTGTGATACGACCTGTTCACATTTATTAGTGCTATCATACCCTTTTTCTCTTCAATAAGAACAACTTATTCTCACTGAATTCTTCCCTTTATGTTCTTAGGAGAGCTATCCACATTAAACAGAGTTGCCTCTTTTAAACTCATTCTAGTGACAAGTAGAACATTTGGTAATAGAAACTGAATTAAGTCATCTTGGAAGTACGCCTTATTTCTTAGGACATACCTAGTCATTTTTTTGGGGCTCAGGATTTGTATGGATGATTCTTTAAAATGCCGTGTGACCCACTTTCTTGACTGTGTGATTTAAAATTTTATAATAGGAGTGATTTGAATAAAAGTCTAAAGTAGGGAATCAGAGGATAGAGAGGCAAAACATGAACTGTGTGGGTGAATGTCAGGGTGAAGGTCAGCGAATCGTGCAGAGCTCTGCCTCATCCCCTCCTGCCCCTACCTGCCTTAATAAGTTGGGTGGGTGACAGCATTTTTGAGGACCTGGATTTTGGGAGCAGATCATGGGGTAGAGCTAGAGATGAAACTTGGGGGTAGCCTGCATCTGCCAGCTCTTCATGATACACTGATGTTTGTTCAAGGGCTTGGGAAGTGGTGGGGGTTTTATTTTAAAACCTGGACTTCATTTTAATGTTTGTCAATGTCACCAAAGCATATTATATATGTAAAAGGAAGTTGTAAATATCTTCACTGGTATTTGAGTGGCTTTCATCATAACCATGCATGCAAAATTAAGACCATCTGGTGGGTGAAGTCTCATGTGTCGGGAAGTCCACGATGCCATGTTTTGGGGGGTCTTGGTGCTCCTGGGAAGAGGGCTTCATTGTGTCTCTTTCGGAAATGATTTTGAAGTAGGAGAATGTAAAGATGAATAGGCTTTTGAAGAAGGCTACTGCTCACATCTGCACAAAAGATGCCAGGGCCTCCAGTGGGTCGATGGTAAGAAAAACTCGAGAGGTGTTAGGCGTGCAGCCTTTCCACGTGACATCAGCCTCTTCTGAGCGGGGGATGTTTCCGAGCCATTGTTTGTCTCAGCACACGTCTAGCTCTGCGTTCTTCCTATAATGGTTTTCTTAATAAAAATGGACTGATGGGTACTCTGGATGAGCCTTCGGTAGGTTCAATAATAAATGGTGCTGAAGAACTAATGGACTTTGATTTTCATTTCAGGGAGTCTTTTTTTTAAAGTCTGTAACTTAATTCAGTAAATGACCCTTTTCTGCTACCGATTGATGTTTTTTTCCCCCCCCAGGCAATTGGAAAATAAATGGTTTGAGAAATTGACTAGGTAATATATGATAGGTATTGGTCTTTGTGTAGGGATTGGTGGGCATGTTCTAGCCTTAAAGCTTTTGTAGTTACAAGAAGTAAGATATTCTACTTCTATTGCCACTTGTTTCCTCCCTGGATTTTATTAGTGGAAAAGTTAATTCAGCCAATCAGTAAATAACTATTTGACACCTATTATATAGAGAGAGCTTTTTTTGCTTAATGTTGACCAGGATAGAAATACAAAAAATGAAATGCCCCATGTAATCAAGTTGTTTTTCTAGGAGATAAGACATAATTAAAAATTGTTCTAATAAATGACCAAATAGAATAAGGCCTTTAGTGGAAATAACGAGTAAAATACATTGAGGCATCATAAAAGGAGAATTCAATCCATGGAGGTGGCATCATTGGAACTGGGCATTGAACCACCCGCCCACCCGTCCGTCCGTCCACCCACCCGTCCATC